ATGTAGGCTTGATAGAGTTCAGGTGCATGTAGTTGAGTAGGATTGAAACCCAGGAGAATGTTGTAAACATCTTGGTCACGCCCTTACTTTGCCTCATAGCATCTGCTATAAAATAAAGGCATGGCTGTGGGCGTGGTCACTGTCTCTCAGAGAAACAGTGTCCCACCGAGACCCAGCTTTCATTCTCTTGTCTGTCTTTTCTAAGCCTTTCAGCCACCCCCACTCAGGTTCACCCCTGGCTGTGCTGGCACGGCACACACACAAAGATAAGCCTCCAAGCTCCCAGGGTGGGTTCCTGCCTCAGACCCCTCCCTTACAGGAAACAGCTCGGGGGAGGGCGCAGCCCTTGCCAAGACAACCCCTGCAGGACTGACTTCCTTCCGCTTGGTCGTGGCAGTTCTGGAGGTGATGAACACCACCCATGGTTTTTATATAAGTAGATTTTAATTGTGATTGAAATCATCAAATGAATGGCAAGCCCAGTCGGCAGCCAACAACAGTAACCCTGGGAAGAGGTGGTCTCTGATAGCTGGGCTCCTGAATGGTAGGAGTGTCCAGAGGAGGCAGGGTCAGGACTTTGGCAGAGTTAGCGCTTTAAGTGCTTCCACAACCTATTATTAAAGTCTTCTTTCCATGTGCCACGCCCTGTGCTGGCCTGGAGATATAGCCCTGAATCAGGTGTCATCCCTATCCTTAAAGCCTTCTGAGTCAGGAAGTGGGAGAATATCAGCAGGTGATTCCCTATATTCTGTTACCACAAGGCAAGATTATTTACAGGAACTTCCCCACAGAAACAGTCCTTCGTTAAAGCAGTCCATTTCCAAGTTTTACGTTTTGTTGGTCAGCAGCATTTCAAAAAAGTTCACATATTTTATTATGTCCAGAACAAGGATATCTTGTTTGTTTGTTTGATATATATATATATATTTTTTTTATTGATTTTTTTACAGAGAGGAAGGGAGAGGGATAGAGAGTTAGAAACATTGATGAGAGAGAAACATCAATCAGCTGCCTCCTGCACACCCCTCACTGGGGATGTGCCTGCAACCAAGGCACATGCCCTTGACCAGAATTGAACCCGGGACCCTTCAGTCCGCAGGCTGACACTCTATCCACTGAGCCAAACCGGTCAGGGCAAGAACAAGGATATCTTTTAAGTTAAACCTATCATCTACTGCTTATTACTGTCTTCATTTTATAAAATAAAGGGCTTTTCTTTTTTCAGTTTTATTGAGATATAATTGATGTGAAACAAGTTTAAGGTGTACAACATAATGAATTGACTTACTAATTGTGAAATGATTACCACAATAAGTTTAGTTAACATCCATCATCACATATAGATACAGAAAAAAGAAAAAGAAAAAATGTATTTTTGTCTTGCAATGAGAACTCTTAGGATATATTCTCTTAATAGCTTTCAAATACACCATATATCAGAGTTAACTGTAGTCATTATGTTGTGCATTAAATTCCCAGGACTTACTTACTTTATAACTGGAAACTTATGCCTTTTGACCATCTTCACATAATTACCCTTCTCCTCACCCCTAAAGGGTGAAAATAGTGGGAATGATACCATCCTGGAATAAAGTTTTATGAAAAACTATAGCTTTATGAAAATTGTATTCTGAAAAGTTCACTGTTGTGTTTTATTTTTCTCACTTCACCATGCACTGGTGAAACTGCATCTTTGACCAGCATTGACTCCAGGACAGCGTTGGGCAGTCACTACTTTGAGCACCACCTGCAAGTGCTCAAGTCGCACAATGCTCCGTGAGAGCAACCTCCATGTTGTGTCTTGTAGATTGTGACAGACCAGCAGACAGGACAGAAGATCCAGATAGTCACCGCAGTGGACACCTCTGGATCCCCCAAGCAGCAGTTCATCTTGACCAGCCCAGATGGAGCTGGAACTGGGAAGGTGATCCTGGCTTCCCCAGAGACATCCAGTGCCAAGCAGCTCATATTCACCACCTCGGACAACCTCGTCCCTGGCAGGATCCAGGTAAGGCCTGTTGACAGAGCATTCATTTACGCATTTCTGCTACTGGACTTGTTCCTGACTGTAACCTCTGCTCTGCCTTGGAGGCCAAATCTGTTTCTAAAAGATGCTTTGGGGACTGGCAAACATGGCAGGTTGCTGCTTTAGCTAAAGTAAAAAGTCAGCAAATGAATGGCAAGCCCAGTAGACAGCCAACTACAGTGCTCAGATGGGATGGAAGTTAAGCCAGGAAAAATCAGTGGCACACAGGAGACTGTCATGAGTGAGCTGGCACTGAGGCCACTTAGTTAACAAAGGCCACATGGTGGCAGCCCTTGGCCCAGGATATTTTAGGGATACCACTTTGGGCTGACCACAGTCAGACAAGGACAACTTGTTCTAATTCTTACCTCAACCTTGTCCAGATGGTCAGGCCTGGTCCAGCTCTTCATTACATCCTCATTTATTCCTGTGAACCTCTGGGACCCTCAGTTCTCATCTCCACCTCTGCCCTGCTTCTCCCTACTCTGGCAAGGTGGGATGGGGTCAGGGGAAGATACAGGAAGGAGAAGAGCAAGGGCTTGAAGGAAAGCAGGGTTGTTGGGAAGCACTGAATTTCCAAGCACAGCAATTAAAGGAACAGACACTTGAGGGCAGTGTCCCATGGTGGACAAGCATGGAGTATGTTTTGTCAGGGTTAAGTAGGAATTCCATGTTTTTGTTTGTTTTTAAATTTTTAAAAATTTGTGGTAAAGTAGAACAAAATTTACCATCTTAATTATTTTCAAATGTACAGTTCAGTGGCATTAACTACATTCACATTGTTGTGCAACTACTACCACCATCCAACCATCCATCCACAGAACTCTCATCTTCCCAAACTGAAACTCTGTGCCCATTAACCACTGACTTCCCATTCCACCTTTCCCACCCCCAACCTCTGGCAACCACCATTCTATTTTCTGTCTCTATGAATTTGACTACTCTAGGGACCTCATGTAAGTGGAATCCTGTAATATTTGTCCTTTTGTGAATGTCTTATTTTACCTAGCATGTTTTCAAGATTTGTCCATGTCATAGCAGGTGTCAGAATCTCTTTCCTTTTTAAGGCTGAATAATATTCCATTATATGTATATATCAGACTTTGTTTATCCAATCATCTGTTGATGGATACTTGAGTTGCTTTTGGCTATTGCAAATAATGCTGCTAAGAATCTGTGTTTTGGGGATAGACTTTCTACTATGGAGAAAATTAAGGAAGGAAAGGATTTTTTTTCTTCTGATAAAGCTGGGTTTAGAATGCCAATTTGTTCAACTTTCAGAATTGTGCTTTTGAGAAACTCATAGTACAGTTAGTAAATACTGCCGCAAACTTGCTTTCCCACAGTACATTCTGATCATCTGAAATCAGAATTCCTCACTGCTAATTTAGACTACTCCTTGTTTGTGAAAGGATGGCTATTGATTTTGCTGCATGTTTTACAAGAGGTCATTCTATATAATGATTTCTGTATATATTTCCACCATACATATATCATAGTACATTATTTGGTACATTATTTAATAACAGCTATTTTTCACTTTCTCATATTGGTATCAGTTACAGTATTCTTCAAGACTAGTAGCACTATTTGTCACCTAGAAAGTCACCTATAAATAAAGGAGAAATAGCAGGTTTTAGAGGTCACCTATTCTAGTTATTTTACTCCCAGCTGCCTCAATAGGAGACTTGCTTATAACTAATAAAGCTTGATTATTTCTCTGCCAAATGTACATCTCTGCATATTTTCAAGCTATTTGGTGGGAATAGAGGCAGCCAAAAACACCTTCAATGTCTTTATGTTGAGACTTCTATATGTGATTCCCCACATGGCCCCGTCTGGGTAATTGTGGTAGCCAGATAGGAGAGCAGATTGGTGAAAACCAATGCTTGACCCTGTCAAACCCCCCAAACCCCCACCTCCTGATGAAGAGGGGCAGTTCAGATGAGCAGCAGGGCCATTCTGGGTGTCAGATTAAGTTGTCAGGTGGAATTTTCCCAGTTCTGCCCAAATCAGCTCTCCTGCATAGAAACTCAAGATTAGGAATTTATAGTTAAGCATTACTTTGCTTAGCTGTCTAATTTTTAATCACCACCCTGCTTGTTTCCTGATTCTTCTTAGATCGTCACAGACTCTGCTTCTGTGGAGCGTTTGCTTGGGAAGGCTGAGGTCCAGCGGCCCCAGGTGGTAGAGTACTGTGTGGTCTGTGGGGACAAAGCCTCTGGTAAGTAACCCTACCTCATGCTAGGTGCACATCATGGCCCAAATTGGGGATGAGGGGTAATGGAGAGAGAACATTTTCTATAGAGTTGTAGGTTCAAGCCATGAACTCCACTTTTCTTACTGGGGTAATATATGTAAGCAAATCAGTTTGTCAAATTATTAGGATCAAAAAAGTCAGGAAACTATTTCTGTGATTTGTAAATCATGGTTGAGCATTGAATATGTATGTGCTACTAAGAAAGTAATCACTTCTTTAGTCAGTATTTGCAGAGTGCTTTGCTGTTTCACAAAATGTGTTATTTAGTCCCCCTTCATCCTATAAACTATTTCTGTCATCCATTCACCGTAACCCAGTATGATAAACTGCTAAAATGCAGGAGAAGGGAGCATGTGATCCTGGCTGGAGTCCCAGGGTCAGGTAAGGCCCCTAGAGGCAGTCACATCTGTGAACCTTGGAGGTTGAGTGTGCCTACGTGAGGTAAAACAGAAGGGTATTCCAGCTGGTGGAGCCCGGGCTCAGTTTGATGCCCACACCCACAGTGTCTTTGGGGAAGAGCTCCTGGGCATATGGGTACCAGGAAAATGGAGAAGATGTCTAGCCCAAAAGTTTAGACTTTGGTCTGCTAACACTGAAGGCTGTAGAAGATAATTGAGGCAGGCAGGGAGGAATAGAGGAATCCCATATAATAAAAGGGTTATATGCAAATCAACAGAAAGGTGGAACAACCTGTCGCTACACTGACCACCAGGGGGGCAGACGCTTAACGCAGGAGCTGCCCCCTGGTGGTCAGTGCGCTCCCATGAGGGTGGGGGTGATGGGGGTGGGAGACGGGGAAGCCCACTTAGCCACAAGCCGGGCTCATGACTGGCGAGTGCAGCAGCAGTGGCAGGAGCCTCTCCCTCCTCCGCAGCAGCCCTAAGGATGTCCGACTGAGGGTTCCTGAACTACTAAAGGGTGCAGGCGGGACTGAGGGACACCGCCCCACCCCCACCCCCACTAATGCCGTGCACCGGGCCTCTAGTATTTAATAAAGGTCCAGTTCCAGTGCTGCTAGGCTCAGGTCTGAGTTTTGTGGTAACTGCTTAGTTCCACTTTATTCTGTGGTCACAAAATTTAGAGGAACTTTAGACACTTTGTGGTTCTGGTTTCTTATTTGTTTGGTTTTTTGTTTTGGTTTGTTTTTGTTTTGTTTTGGTTTGTTCTTTTGTTTGTTTGTTTTAAAAAGGAGTCTGGACCAAGCCTCTTAGGAAGACAGCTCTAGGCAAGCATCTGTAGAAGCTCCAGTTTCCCTCGCAGCTTGTGACACCATTTGCCCTATCAGGGGTGTCCTGGCTCTGCTCCTACCCCTTATCCTGGTAAATCCAGCCCATTTCACCCCTTTGAAGCTTTCACCTGTGTTGCCTCTGTCCTCATCCCCCTTTTATAAAACAGACCTCACTGAGCATTTGTTGCATTCTCTTCTAATTGGTTTTTACAGGCCTGTCTTGCCCACCAGAATGTGCTCTTTTTGTCAGACCCCTCCATCTCTGTATCCCTACCCACTGCAAATTTTTGAACAAATGAATGAAGCATGAACATAAGGAAAGGGGCACGGAATCTTTTGGGCTTCCCCATTTGTCACTCTCTTTCTGGGCTTAAAGAAACAGCCTAGTCACAGGCTCATACTGCCATTGTCTCAAGATATTGGAGATCACTCTAAGGGTTAGAAAGCTTAAGGAAATACCCTGCAAAAAAGGAAAAATGATGCCTACATGGTAGGTCACAGTTTTAGCACAACTGTTCTTAAAGGCACAAAATAGAGACCCTCCAAGTATACCCTTGGGGAATGGATCCAAGTGCTAGAGCTTAGGACAATAGGATGCTCTGTAGCTGCTGTAAATGATGATCCCATGAAACGTGTCCTCCCAGCAGTAGCTAAGACATTAGGTTACATAAGACTGAACTATGTGGTGATGGAAGGAGACTTGACTTGAAGGAGACTTATATTGTGGTGAACACACAGTACATTATGTAGGTGATGTATTAGAGAATTGTATACCTGAAACCGATATGATTTTATTAACCAGTGTCACCCCAATAAATTCAATTTAAAAAAAAAATAAAACAACTATGGTCAGTCCCAGCTGGGAACAAATGAGTTACAATGCCTGTGGAAGCACTTTGTGAACTAAGAAGGGTAAACTGAGGTGGGGGCTCTTTTTAATGTCATTGGTAAGTAAGGGTTAGAGACATCACAGTAATCAAGATTAGAAAAAACTGTGTGTAATAAGTGTATTTCTAGGACTAAGTTTCCAAAAGCATCTGACTAGCTAACCCAAGTGAGCTACATGGCAACCTTCCTTCACCTTGAACCTGCTCAGTCACAGTCCTCATAATTCCTCTCATCATTCCACTTCCTCCAGGGGAGGTCAAGGGCCCAGGACATGGCTAACACAGGGGTAATAAATACAGGAGTGAGACCCTGTGTGCTAAAATATCACATGCATGTGTTTGCTACCTGCCACTCTTGGCAGGACAGGGGAGTTGAGTAGCTTTGCAAGCTTAGGGTCTGCAGAGCCAAGACCAGGGTGTGTGCAGAGGACAGCACAGTTCAGCCATCCCCCTTGAGCTCCTACTGTATGGTATGTCCTTCATGTACTAAGAGCATTAAGGACATGCCATTTACCAGGTGTCACATCATCTGTCTGAGCTTAAATTTTTTCATCATGACCTTCTAGGGCTCCTGTAAAGATTATAGAGAAATCACGTAAAAGACTTGCTAACTCCTAATTACCAATGCTTAATGTTGAGGCCTGGGCATCTGACTACACACCAGTCACTTTGATAGACATACATTAAAAATAGGGCCTGTGATGGGTCACCTCTTTTCTTGGTAAAACTGCTTTATACACTCTGTCCTTTCAGGCCGTCACTATGGGGCTGTCAGTTGTGAAGGCTGCAAAGGTTTCTTCAAAAGGAGCGTAAGGAAAAATTTGACCTACAGCTGCCGGAGCAACCAAGACTGCATCATCAATAAGCACCACCGGAACCGCTGTCAGTTTTGCCGGCTGAAAAAATGCTTAGAGATGGGCATGAAAATGGAATGTGAGTAACAGTATTAAAGAAACCACGTGAGTTAACAAGGAGGGAGAAAGTAAGCATTAGTCTGTTAACTAAGGTTTCTGTGTCTGGCTTTAAAATACTAAGAAGAAAAAATCCACTCACGCTTCATTTTGGTTTACCTTCGGGCTCAGCGTGATGTTTCAGTATTGACAATGCTGGGATTGGTCAGTTCCCGTGTATGTGGAAACCTACTCCCAGTAAATCAGGAGGCAGCAATGTGGAGTGGGGTAAACACAGGCTTTGTAGTGAAGCTGAATACCAGATCAGACTCTAGCTCTGCCCCTTAGGAACTGTGAGGCCTGGGGAAGACATGTAGGTTTTCTAAGCCAAAGGGGCCTCCTCTTTGAAATAGAACCCTTTACCTTACATATTGGATCTGGAGTTTAGTCTTTCTTTTAATAAAAAGGTCATTATTTTTCAGTTGTTTCTGGCATGTATACCTATTCTTATACCAGATTACTGAAGGGAGAAGTTGCTAGGGTGATAGAAAATTGACAACACACACTTTGCAGAAGTCATGCATGCTGGAGGTGGACATAGAGTTGTTCCTCTACAATGTGTAGCATTGGACAAGCTCTCTGTTGAAGACCCACTTGAAGACGAGTGTTTCTCACCCTGGAGAGAGTCCCTTTTGTTAGCAAGTAAGAAGTGAAAACCCAGCCCTAGCCCATTTGGCTCAGTGAATAGAGCGTTGGCCTATAGACCGAAAGGTCCCGGGTTCGATTCCGGTCAAGGACACGTACCTCAGTTGCAGGTTCCTCCCCGGCCCAGGCCCTGGTTGGGGCTTGTGCAGGAGACAACCAGTCAATGTGTTTCTTTCACATCGATATTTCTCTCTCTCTTTCCCTCTCTCTTCCACTCTCTCTAAAAAACAATGGAAAAATATTCTTGGGTGAGGATTAAAAAAAAAAGACGTGAAAACCCAGAGGGCTCTGGATGGACCCTCACAAGGCCATGTGGATGCTATGCTGCAGTTCTTCGTAGGCAGTGCCCACCGTCTTGAGCTCTTTTCCTGCCTTTAGATTTGGCATGGCATTGCTTGGCTTTGAACCTTTACAGCTCCTTTGGCTAAAAAGTCCACTATGAAAATTGAGCTTGACTTTCTAAGTAAGACTATAGTTTTTATTGATTCAAATCTTTCCTCTAAATATGAATATTTATTGTGATTTAAGCTGTACAGAGTGAACGGAAGCCCTTTGATGTACAGCGGGAGAAACCAAGCAATTGTGCTGCTTCAACTGAGAAAATCTATATCCGGAAAGACCTGAGAAGTCCTCTGATTGCCACTCCCACATTTGTAGCAGATAAAGATGGAGCGAGGTTAGTCTCTGTTTTGACAAAGGGTAAAACTACCATCAGCCTTTGTTGCTCAGAGGAGGCACTGGTGTTTTTTGGAAAGGGGGCTTATATGTCTCCCCACCTGCCTGGAAAGCCATCAACCTTGTCTTGCCTCATTCCACCCCTTTTGGACTGCTTCAGTCAAACCTCTGTACAGTCCTGAGGATGGCTGATGGGGTCAGAATTTTTCAAGGGCTCAGATTATGTCTAGCAGTTTGGCATTATTCATACAGGAAAACAGTTGTGGAATTCCAGATTGGGATTTTTTTGTAGTATAGACAAAAGGCCTAAGTCCCAGGTGTGGGCCCAGATAAGTGCCACAAGTTAATTTATATGTTCTTTTTAATGTAACCTATTGAACTTAATTTAAAAGGAACAGAGAGCAGGAAAACAAAAAATCCAAAGGTATCACAGAGAGAACTAGAATTGAGAATGCCTTAGTGATATTCTGAAGATCAAGTTAACATTATTTGGCAGAGCAGCCAAAGTCCCCAGTCAGCACAGAAGCAAGCCCTGGGGATGTGTGTCTGTGTGTCATCCTGTCTCAGGCTATAGACCCAGTTGTGTGCACATCTCATTGCAGAGAAAAGGGGGTTGTTCAGTCACTTAGTGTCTGAGTCTAGTTAGAGCTTTTCTTTTACTCAGACAGCCCTGCAGATGTAGAAGGGACAGGGAAATATAGCATGATCATACTGTGCATTAAATGTTGGAAGCTACTCTGGGTTTCTTTATGTCTTAAATAGACAAACAGGTCTTCTTGATCCAGGGATGCTTGTGAACATCCAGCAACCTTTGATACGTGAGGATGGTACTGTTCTCCTGGCCACAGATTCCAAGGTGATGTTATGCCTTCTCCTCCATTTTTATGTTGCAGTGCAGACTGCTTTTCTAAATGTGTGTACCACCTTCTTCTTGGCCTTTAGAGACCACATTGAAAGCATGACCTTCTGCTTCTCAGTTTACTTGTGATTTAGCCCCCAGTGATTTGTTTTAGGGATGCTGATGGCTTTCAGAAACTCAGTCAGGGCTGGCTGGTCATAGTCATAACACGGTCTAGAGTTCAATTTGGTGAAAGTTCTATGGTTCTCTTCTCTATTAAGATGTTCACCCCCTGGTACACACATTGACAAACTACTGGCATGCTGAAGAACCAGCTACTTATCCTAAGATGGCCTTACAAAAGCCTCTAGATCAAGCATGTCAAACTCAAAGGCTAACATGGGCCAAATAAACAAGTTTTAAGTTTATGTGGGTTGCAAAAAAACAAAAGCTTCAATTTTTATAGAAACATAGGTTTATTTTGATACACATGCTAAATACAAAGGGCTGAAATAAATGAGTCATCGTTGATGAGTATTTGTTGTTGGCCACATGTGGCCCTCGGGCCTCAAGTTTGACATGCTTGTTCTAAATGATCTGCAGGAGGAAGTTCAGCCAGGATTTTAACAATTCTAAAACTGTTAGGATAAATAAGTCATAGGGAATTTGACTTGTGGAATACAGAGATGTTTGTCAATCCGAGAGAGAGAAACAAAGAGAGAGAGAGAACTGGCTAATTTATGAAGATAACTAAAGAGGAAGGTTTTATCCAGGCGAGGGAATCCATTGTCTTTCTCATCTTGACCCAGGTAATGAAGTGGCAGCCAGCCAGGGCTGAGGTCCGATTTTCTTCCCTGAAAGGAGTAACTCAGTGTAACAGAGCACTACTGGCACTGCTGCCCTTAGAGTCAGAGCTGGGCCTGAAACTACTTTCTCATGTGTTCACATGCACATCAATGTGCACACTCTGTACATTAAGGAGCATCCTTTTTGGGGAAAGAAAAGGCAAAAATTAGAGCCATTACTGGCATAGAGAGATGTCCTCTACCTAGTGGTCTTCAGGCTGGGCTGTAAAACTGAAAGGAAGGATCAAATAACCTTAGAACTCCTGACTACCAAGGGATTTCACAGCAACTGTTCTGTTGTGCCTCTTTATTGGTAAATAACGTGCCTTTAAATGGCTATACTACATTCAGTTTATCTATTAATCAGCTGATGAACATTTGGGTTGTTTCTACGTTTTATCTATTGTGAATAGTGCTGCTTATTAACATTTGTGTACAAGGTTTTTTGTGCATGTTTTTATTTCTCTTATGTACATGTCTAGAAGTGGAATTGCTGGTCATACGGTAACTGTGTTTAAACTTAGAGGAACTGCCAGAATATTTTTCGGTGACTATACCATTTTACGTTCCAACCAGCTGTGGGTGAGGGTTCCAGTTTCTCCACATCCTCCCCTACACTTACCTGTTTTATTATAGCTGTGTTAGTGGGTGTGAAGTAGTAGCTCATTGTGGTTTTGATTTACATTTCCAGTGATGTTGAACATCTTTTCATGTGCTTATGGCTATTTGTATGTCGTCTTCGAAGAAATGCCAACTTAAATCCTTTGCTTATTTTTTAACTGGTTTATTTTTCTTTTTATTATTGAGTTGCAAGTGTCTGTTAGATATTCTGGCAACTAAACTATTATCAGATGTATGATTTGCAAATATTTGTCTTGTGTATGTGAGGGAGGGGGTGTATTTTTACTTTCTTGGTAATGTCTATTGAAGCACAAAGGTTTTAATTTTTATGATATTGTTTATCTTTTTGATCTTTCATTTTATCATGTATAGATTGTGTAACTACCACCACAATCAAGATATAGAACAAATCCATCACCAAAAAGATCTTCCTCATGCTGCCCTGTTGTAGTCATACCCCCCTTTGAAGCTGTTTTTAAACCAACATTATACCTTCATTAGCCTGAGAGTCAGTGTGTATGCATATTCATCATGTGTGTATTCATCTTTTAATGTTACTATTTTTTTGTTTAATAGGCTGAAACAAGCCAGGGAGCTCTGGGCACACTAGCAAATGTAGTAACCTCCCTTGCCAACCTAAGTGAATCCCTTAACAATGGTGACACTTCGGAAGTGCAACCAGAGGACCAGTCTGCAAGTGAGATTACTCGGTATGAACCCATGCGGGTATAGGCTCCCCTCCTGACATGCACACTCAGTCACTGCATTGTGAGGGTGGGTGGCAGCATTTTTAACACTCACCCTGTATTTAATCAAGGATTGTAAAATTGTCACAGTTCCCCTGAACATCTGTCTCCTTTCAAAATCAAAGTTGCTTTTCATTCCAGACAATGAAAAAGGACATTGAGTAACTCAGTGGAAGCAGGGGAAAACTCTTCAGTGGACAAATGTTACTCTTCAGTCATTATTTATTATGCCTGGATATTAATAGCTCATTCCCTTTTCACAATTCTGTTTTAGCTTTTTTTTTTTTAATGCATTATATTGACTTCAGAAAAGGGAGAGGGAGAGAGAGATAGAAACATTAATCATGAAAGAGAATCATGGATTGGCTGCCCTCTACTGGGGATCGAGCCCCCAATCCCGGCATGTGCCCTGACCAGTAATCAAACTGTAACCTTCTCTGGTTCATGGGTCACACAAGTGTGCTGGTTCTTATGTTCACTTGTGTTCTGATAGCAAAATTTAGATCTGATCCAGTGGAAAGGAGATAGGGTCTGGTTCTACCACTTACTCTATGGGCAGTCTTGGAAAGTTAATTAACATCTCTAAGCCTCAGTTTTCACATCTATAAAATGGAGAGAATTCTACTTTGGAGAATAGTTGTAAAAAATAAAAATTACATGTAAAAATAATAATACATAGCTTAGTGTCCAAGGTGATGTATAGACAATGCATAGAAGCTTTCATTGTTATCCTTTCTCTCAGCAGGTAGAATATAAGTATCTTTCTCCAATGCATTGTTTTTCTAAATTATGTCTCAGCTAGAGTTCATTTTCCCTAAAAGCTATGGATTTATAATACTTGCTTGCTTCAATTTTGCTCACAGGGCATTTGATACCTTAGCTAAAGCACTTAATACCACAGACAGCTCCTCGCCTCCAAGCCTGGCAGATGGGATAGACACCAGTGGAGGAGGGAGTATCCATGTCATCAGCAGAGACCAATCCACACCCATCATTGAGGTTGAAGGCCCTCTCCTTTCAGACACTCACGTCACATTTAAGGTGAGTGTGTTAAGCCTAACCATGTGCCCCCATCCTACTAGGAGAGGAGCTTTGTCCCAAAGCTGGTCTCAGTTTAAAAATCAAACCTTGGAGTGAGCTCATTTCCATATTGTGGCGTTTGATTGGGATATTATATTCTAGAACTATATCCCCATTACAAAGCACTTTCACTCATCCTTTGTTCACAGTGGCATTTGGCTCTGAAGGTAACCCTGATAGGCTGACCAGCAAGGGCCTATTAGCTGACTGCTCCGCCTTCCACCTTCTGATAATGGCCTGGCTCCAGTACAGGCTGAGGCAGGCCCGTTGGTCTGCTCCAACAGCAGGCAGCCAGCCCTCATGCCCACCCATTGGGTCCTGACCATTTACCCTCTAGAATTATAGAAAGTAGATATCTGGTATCCTTGGTGGGTACTGTGAGGCCCTCATAGGTCTTCTCCATCCTCTTCTCCTCTGGCCTTTCTTCTGTAGGACACTCCCAGCTTCCATGAGGCCCTCTTAATCACTAGTTCTCTAGAGTGAGTCTTTCTGTTCCCCAGCATTCTTTACTAGAGAGATCTTGCCAGTCACTTAGGAAGGTTAGGTCTGTGCTTATAATTGCCCAAAGTACTGAGGACACAGATTACCAGTGAGATTCAAGCTTCAGAGGCAGTAGAGCTCCTTGTAGACAGTGGAGCTCCTGGAGCCCAGGCCTGACATTCTGGTGGTGGGATATTCTCCTCCTACCTCTAGGTTTCTGCTCAGCTCTTACTTACAGTTGCCTTGAGGCCACCTACCAAATGTCTTCTAATCCAGCAATTTGACCCCTTTTTCCCAATTTGATTTAGACTTAACCTATGACTCAAAGTGGATTTGCCTTAGAACAAATAATTTATTTGAGGCAAGAGTTGAAAAGTATGTATTTTTATGGCTAAGCTGGGTTGGGGGGTAGTCCCCATCATAGGATGGGACCATGCAGAAGCCTCAGCATCAGAGATGGTGTCTCTGGCTGCCATGATGTTGAAATGCAACAGGGATTTGTATTGACAAACCAAGCCATCTCCTGTCCCTCTGTTACCTCCTGTGCTCTGTACCTTCTCTTCTCCAGCTAACAATGCCCAGCCCAATGCCAGAGTACCTCAATGTGCACTACATCTGTGAGTCCGCATCCCGCCTGCTTTTCCTCTCCATGCACTGGGCCAGGTCAATCCCAGCTTTTCAGGCACTTGGGTAAGTGGCCTTTTTCTCTCTGTATCTCCAGCAAGGGTCTTCCCCTCTCTAGGAATGGTCTGGAAGATTTCTGAGGGCCCTTCCAGTTTGTTCCTATGACCTGATTTTTTTATTAAATATAGTCAGTGGACCTGTAGCCGGGGACCATGGATGCTAATGTTGCAGTGTTCCTCAAATCTTTATCAAGCTTCCTCCATGTGCTAAGGACTTAGAACTAGCAGCTAGGGATGGAGTGGAATAGAATCAGGAGTCATCCTAAAATCTGGAGACAAGTAGGGACATGCTGCATATGGGGGCATCAGAGATACGGACATACTGTTTTGCAATGCACCAGCCATGTCATCCTAAGTGTAAATTACCCAAGGCAGGGATGAAAACTGACTTCCTCCCTACTACAGTGTCAGCTCCTCCTTTGCAGGGTTTGCAGGCCCTCAGTTCCTATGCCTAGATGTAGGGTATGTCTCCTCCAGAGTCTACACTCAGCTCTTAGTTCTTTAATTGCTGCATCCTCTCACGACAGAGGCACTAACTTACGTTCAAAGAATCTTTTTTAAGAGAGTGGATAGTTTATCCTCAGAGAGACTTAGTTTAGAGATTCTTATACAGTGGTGTTCTTAGAAAATGATCCTGAATATACCATAGACCTTCAATACACACTTGCTGAATCCACTTGTTTGGGGCATGCCTTGGTTTGGAGAAGTGCCAACTCAAACCCGCACCCACCCTCACCTCTGTGTCCCCAGGCAGGACTGCAACACCAGCCTGGTACGGGCCTGCTGGAATGAGCTCTTCACCCTCGGTCTGGCCCAGTGTGCCCAGGTCATGAGTCTGTCCACTATCCTGGCGGCCATCGTCAACCACCTGCAGAACAGCATCCAGGAAGGTAGGGTGGGACGTGGGGGAGTATGTCTCCCATCTAGGCTGTCCCATCACAAATTGGCTAGTCTTAGTATCCCACACCATCCATAGGCTGAGGGAGATTTAACTTTTAAGTCATAGGAACTTTACTAGTCAGCATATTTAAATTTCTGCGTGATTGCCTGTTTTTCATATAATGAATATGAAAGGAGGAGGGGAGAAGATAATTGAAAAAAGTTGGCAACTTCCTGCTACATAGACATGTAGTGATATTTTCAGAATAATCACAGCTTATGTTTTCATCTTCATTAACAGGTTACCCTTTCGTGTGTGATATTTCACATAGCTTCACAACCCTATAAAGTAGAAACTATTATCTGTGTTACATATGGTAAGGTCCCTGGCTTGCCCCAAATGAAACAGCAAATAGAACATTTGAGGCACCAAGGCACCAACATAGGTCATGCAGACCTCCTGTTCCAGGACAGTTACCTCACCCAGTTCCTTGTGAATGAACAAATGACTCTCTTCTAAGATCTGTGGCAACCATCTAACATTTGGTGGACAGATCCCAGTGTGTCAGAACTGGGAGACATCTAGTGCAATCTGTCCACATGCTGTGTGTCCTCAACACACTGAAGAGCACAGCCAGGGTTCGAGACTAATACTGACAGTCTACACTTGCAGCTGAGTGGGAATTCAACTGTACTGGTAACTGAGCATTCCAGGTACCTAGTCACATCTTTGTTTTTGTAGTTAATCCTTTGAAATAGTTATAAAAAGGTGATTTTTAAAAAGCCCTACAACATTTTATTGAATTTAAGTTAGATCTCTTTACAAATGAGCTTTTAGTTCTTTTTTTTCTTTTTAACTGAGTATGATGCTGATACCCCTCAGCAAAATGTTGTCATGAGGATTAAGTCAGATAACATATAGAATTGTTTTGACAAGTAAAAAAGTCAACATTTTAGGTTGGTAAATATTTATTAGATGCCTGCAGACACTTAGAAAACCTAACCATTGATAAGAACACACAAATGGGTCTTAAGCACGGAATAAAAGGAATTACCAATTTATACTATACGCCAAAGGTGCTGCCTAGGGTTGGGCCAGGGAGAACTGCAAGTCTAGGGGTTCATTATTGAAGCAAAATATATAACAGAGTAGAATTGGGATACCTGTTGTCATTTCACCTTCAACGGAAAATGAAGCTCTTGACCATCTTGAGATAACTGGTTTTTAAATTAAAACATGAAGTTAGCCCTAGCTGATTTGGTTCAGTGGATAAGCATCGGCCTGTGCACTGAAGGGTCCCAGGTTCAATTCCGGTCAAGGGCACATCCCCTGGTTGCGGGCTTGATCCCCAGTAGGGGTGTGCAGGAGGCAGCCAATCAATGATTCCCTCTCATCGATGTTTCTCTCTCTCTCTCCCTCTCCCTTCCTCTCTGAAATCAATAAAATAACATTTTTAAAAAAAAAACAAAAACGTGAAGTTATTCTCTTTCCCCTAAAAGAACCTTGTATTACTGTTCTTATCAGCCTTTCTTAGGGGATCTGTGATATTGATTTCTAGATAAACTTTCTGGTGACCGGATAAAGCAAGTCATGGAGCACATCTGGAAACTTCAGGAGTTCTGTAACAGTATGGCAAAGCTGGATATAGACGGCTATGAGTATGCCTACCTTAAAGCCATAGTTCTCTTTAGCCCCGGTAAGATATGCGGTGGTGGCGCATGTTTTCCACCTGTGTCTAATGATGTTTGTTAACATGAATTGTTGTGAAGATGTCAGTGGTGTAGAGAGCCCTGCCAGATTGTGACTGACTGTACTCACAGGTGTGCTTTGTTAACTTGGGTAAATACATACATTCTTTTAATTCTTGCCTTTACAGTCCAAAGAAATGGCTTGATTTACCAAATAGATTTAATCTGTAATCTAATTAAACCATTGGCCAGGCAAGGGCATACAAAATAGGGTTCTACCATCCTGTGTCTTTGTTTTGTTTGCTCTTTGCCAACTTTCAGGTTATGTTAGCATATATAAATTAAAACTGCACAAGTTTACCCATAGTCTCTGTGGAGGGCAGTAGCAGCAGTTGCTACAGGGCACATGAAAAGGTATGGTCACAGCAGGTGAAGAAGAGGCAGCAGGAATTGTTGGTGGAAAGTAAAACAGATGGGCTGGCCTCACTCACTTCCCCTCGGAGCCTCCTGAGAGGTCACTTGGGTAAATGATATCCTTACCATTGTGTTGAACAGATGGGGTTGTAAAACAGCTTAACTTTTCCCTTCCTTCCCTGCCCTCCACTCACAAACAACAAACTAGCTAGTGAAAATGGGGAAATTATGTAATTAAATATCTAGAAAACAGTTTTTTAGATATTAGAAAATAAATTTCTAATTTCATGTGATAGTTTTAAAACTGATGTTTTTTAGAGTGGTAGAAAGTCAAATATCCAGAACCAGTAGTTGGGGCTGCCGAGGCTGGAATACTACTCAGGAGCTCAGCTCCCTCCTGGGCACCTCCAGGCCTTGGCTGAGCATAGGAAAACCCAGTGTTCTAAACACTATCCCAACCTTCAGAGTTCATTCTATTGATCAGCCTTCAGAGTTCCTTCTATTGTGCTTGAGAAATTTGTGAGAAGTTTGATTAAAAATAAGTTCTAAGCAATCCGTGAGGCTTTCCGAATACAGAGGGCAATTTGGGGGCACTTTTCTCTTTTCAGATCATCCAGGTTTGACTAGCACAAGCCAGATTGAAAAGTTCCAAGAAAAGGCACAGATGGAGTTGCAGGACTATGTCCAGAAAACCTACTCAGAAGACACCTACCGGTGAGACACACAGGCACATGCTCTTGCTCAGGGTGTAGAGGAATGCAGCTGGATCTGTAGTTGCAAATAGAAATTATGTTAGCCTTCCTATTTCTAGCAGCTGGTAAAGCCTCCATGTCATCACACCTTAGTTCTTGCATTTTATAGGTGGGAATGGAGTGTGGACAGTGCCAGGCAGGGAGGGTCAAGATATCAGGCCATCCCATCGTTGCTGGGTGACGGCGGGTGTCAGGACCTTGGGTTTCTCCTCTGTGATTTGGGGGTTAGAGCCGATGCTCTGTGGTCTCTTCTGGGGCTGACATGCGTGAGGCATGAGTCCTCCTGGAGACACTCCTTGTCCAGAACAGTTGGAAGCTCTGGTCCGCAGCCACTCCAGAGGCAATGCTAGAGGACTTGAAAGAAAAGTTTTCATTAACTGAAACCAGACCTGACCCCTATAAAGCAGTGAGTGAGCAAGTTGTGTAAAATAGTAATTTCACCCACAGATAAAGGGTGAAATTTCTCTGTGATTGGAGGGGGGAGGGGGGAGGCATGTGGGCTGGCCCTGCTGGCAGAGTCTCTACCTCTGCTTTAGGCACACCTCCGTGGCCCACAGGCAGCTTTTGCCAAAGCAGAATCCATTTTCTACTGGGATCACTGAAGACCTCACCATGAATCTAGAATACCTTGAGCCTCAATACACATAGACTGGGACTGTCAAGTAATGCACCCATACTCAGAACTTATACATCCAGCCAGGCATGAAGGCAAAATGTCCCCCAAAGAGACTACTCCGCGACAGCATGCTAGTATCACCTTGACAATAGCAACTCTCTTGTCTTTGAAAGTAGATGTTCTGAAAAAATCCTGAATCACTCCTTGTCCAGTCAGGAACCCAGGAGGAGAAGGGGGCAAGCCAGGTGATTTGGGACTAAAAGTGAGATAAGGGAGACTTTCTCATAGAATTCAGAAACCCACTCAAAGAAATTTCCCAAAGAAACGGCCCTAGTAGAATGCTTTATACCCTGTTTATACATTCACTTTTTTACTTTTTCCCATCCTTATCCTTTTTTTTCATACCATTTTTCCTCCTGAAATGCCCTCTCATTCCTTTCCATTCTTTGCATCTCTGCTGATAGACATCTTAGCCAGCCTCTTAATCTTAAGGAGGCCCAGCTGAGATGTGGCATGCTCCAGGAAGTCCTCCTTGATTTGCCTTTGCTAACTTCCTGACACCTTGCAGCTGGTCAGCCTCTCCAAGTCTGTGGTGGTGTCCCCTTACACCTTTGTGTGCCCTGCAAGACTTGCGGTGCTGGGTGAATGGATGATGGTCCTGGAATGCTACTTTCATAATATGAATGTCTTTTCCCTTTTTAAAAAAACAAACATAAAATGGAATCTCCTCCCGGTGGAAATTTCATTGTAAAAGGAAAGTATTTGAATAGTTAATAAAGCTATTTAAAATTTAAAAACACACACACACACACACACACAAAAAGCATGTTCACTGTAGGGAAAGATTAGAACATTCTGAAAAGCAAAAAGACATTTTTTTACTCTGTAAATACCACTGTCTAGATTAACATTTTATGTATTTACTTCCAGAAGTTTTGTATGTACCTGTAATTGGAATCATAAAATATAAAGTAAGGTTTGGTAACCATTTTTTTAAATTTAATATTCAATGAGTATACATATTCTTCATCATTTTCCAAGGCTGAGGAAATGCTGTAATTTAACATTTCCTGCTGATGAGAATGTAGGTTTTTTCCAGACTTTGTGCAGTGGCTATGGAGTGACTTTAGACAGTGGCCCATGGCCCCATGGCAAGGTCATGGTGTGCCCTCTCATCCAGGGTTTCTTAAAAAAAAAAACAATTTTACTGTTTTATTTTAAACTAGAGGCCCAGTGCACAGGACTGCAGCTTGGCAGCTCCTGTGTTGAGCATCTGTCCCCTGGTGGTCATTGCACGTCATAGCTATCAGTCAGACAGTTGCTTAGGCTTTTGTATATATAGATTATAATGTTAAATTCTGGAAACTAGGGCAATATAGGAAAAGTTTTAATACGTAAGATCACTCTAAATCCCAATACCCAGAGGCTAACCATTAGCATTCCTGGTACATATCCTCCTGAGTACCATTTACGCATGTGCGCACAAATAAATACACACAAGTGCAACTGTGCTGTACTTGCTGCTTCACAACCTCCTTTCGAGTTTTTATTCAACTACATGTCATGGACTTATCAATGAATATGGATCTTTTTTTAAATATATATTTTTATTGATTTCAGAGAGGAAAGGAGAGGGGGAGAGAGATAGAAACATCAGTGATGAGAGAGAATCATTGATTGGCTGCCTCCTGCACACCACACATGGGGGATCGAGCCTGCAACCCAGGCATGTGCCTTGACCTAGTATTGAACCATGACCTCCAGGTTCTTAGGTTGAAGCTCAACCACTGAGCCACGCTGGCCGGGCTATGGATCTTTATTACCCTTTTTTAATTTTTTTTAAAGATTTCTTTTGTTTTTTTGTTTTTTGTTTTTAATATATATTTCAGAGAGGAAGGGAGAGGGGAGCGATAGAAACATCAATGATGAGAAAGAATTGATCGGCTGCCTCCTGCACGTCCCCCACTGGGGATCGAACCCGGGACCCTTCAGTCCACAGGCCGACGCTCTATCCACTGAGACAAATCAGCTAGGGCTTTATTACCCTTTTTAATGAGTATGTCTTGATCCATTATATGAAGACAACATTTTTTTAACCTGTCCTCTATTGATAGATTTCCACGTTTTTCTTTTGGTTGGGGGTAGAGAGAGCTCCACCCCCACCAAACAATGAAGGGAACATTATGTGTACATACATCTTTGCACTTTCTAAACTTTTTTTCTCATGAACTCCTACAAGAGGAACTGCTAAAATCAGAAAAAGAAGAGGTGGATAGTGGGTGGATCTATTGTTAGGTTCAATTCTGAGCCGATAGGGCTCCTGAGAGCCTGTCCAGGATGAAGTCTGAAGGGCAGTGAGCCCTCCTTTCTCTAATGACCCTCCTTCTTACAGATTGGCCCGGATTCTTGTCCGCCTGCCAGCACTCAGGCTGATGAGCTCCAACATAACAGAAGAACTTTTTTTTACTGGTCTCATTGGCAATGTTTCGATAGACAGCATAATTCCCTACATCCTCAAGATGGAGACAGCAGAGTACAATGGCCAGATCACCGGAGCCAGTCTATAGTGCACACCACACACCTGCTGAGGAGCAGAAATGGCCTCCTGGGACCGCTCAGAGAGAAAGAAAATGGAAGTAGTAGTATTTTGGTATGTGCAAATATTTCCAGTATGTCCATCATTTCCTACCTGGTTCCTTCGTATCTGTTAAATCCCAGGCCATAGCAACTAAAAGACTAGTAGGATCCTTTCCTGCCATAAGAAATGTTTTAATGCCTTTTGATGAAGCAGATTTTGGAACAATCTTTTAACTCAATTTGTATTTAGAAATTCTCAAAGGGCAAAAAACAAAGTTTTATAATGTCAGAGACTAGGATTAAAACTAAAAGAACCTAAGAAAACAGTATGTGTGTGTATATATTAAAAATGTCCTTGGAATTAATAGCTACTAATTACCAGGGTAATATTAGCACTTTCTAAGCACTTCTTACCGATACGTAATGTTAGCAACATCTTGTCTATGTGCAGGGCAAATGGAAAACAGTATACGTCTTTTGCCGAAATGCTAATAATTTCTGTGAAAATGCAATAGGGTATAGGAGACAATCATTTATGTTTAAGAAAAGGCATCATTCCTAATTATATGCATACTTTGGTGGTATTGAACTGAATTCCTGTGAGCAAATGAAAATGTGGCTTATCTGTATCATGCAGTAAGTGGGAGTGTGCTAGCACAGTTGGTGGTGACCCAAACCAAAAGCTTCCTCAGTCAAAGAGCTGATGCTTGTCAGATTCCCTGGTCTCTGGTCCTGGTCTGACAGGCATCTTCAGGCTCCTCAAAACCTCAGGCATCTTCGGGTGCCTGATTCTCAGAATTGGATTGCAACCAGTTAGACATTAATTGCCAATTCCTGCAGCAATTAACATCCCCAAATTACCTCCACTATGGCAGATGGAGCTTTCTGACCAAAAAGTGCAATTCAGCATTTTGAACCCTTGACAGTAGTACTTCCTGAATACAATCTGGGTGGCTGCAGTTTTCAGATGGAGGGACATGGCCTTCCTGGAGTGTGAGGGTTCCTCTCTGGGATTTCTATTCCAAGTGACTCTATGGGCCTGTGTTCCTGCAGTTCAGAACTACTATGGGGGTGGAGTATGTGTACAGGATCTTGCTTCCTGGCTAGGGCAGTGGTGGTGAAGCTGAATGGAAGGGTTCTCTGTTGACCTTAAATATCAGGGTTTTCCAAAATGTCTCCAGATCCAGTATCTCTGTTGGCAAGTTTTTGAATGGCACTGGCCCACCGTGCACTTTGATTCCCCTAGGTGTGTGCCAGCAAAAACCCTGGAGCATTTAGGTAACGGATGCAGAAGCAGGCTGCCTGCTCCTTAAAAAATAACCCTTAATTCCCACTTATCTCCTTTCTCATAACTTAGAGCAACCATCGTATACAAGGACAGAATATGGTTATAAGGAAGTTCTATCTAGAGAAGTGCACCCATAAATTCCCATGGATGAGTTGCAGTGAGTATTTCCTTTGGGAAAAGTGGTGTGCCCAAGACTGAGTCAAGTACTTTGCATTTTCTTTTTTGTGTATATCAGAATAAGCAACTACAATGTAAGGTTAAGCTTGCATCTCTTTAATCTTTTGATCAGATATCCAAAAAGATCCCAAGGCACTCCCTGGTCTGGCTCAGGCCCTTAGTCATAGTAGGCACTTCACAAGATGTGCATGGGTGTTGGGCAAGCCAGCCACAGGCTTACAGCAAAATGGGATGCTTTAACCTGAAGTGTTAGCAACACTTTATGAAAGTCATTATTGAGGATTAAGTGGGAACAGTTCAATTCTTTTATCACTTCTAGTTCATATCTTGCAAGCAAATTTTGGAGAATAGTGAAGGGTGCCCATTATAAAATGATGGAAAGGATAATGTCACCATCTTAAATGTTTGGTTTTCTAACTTTGAGTGATTTAAATTTTAAAATTAAGACCAAAAATTGGCCAAGACAAATGGAGTTAGGGCAGGTTTGTATCATTTCTGCTTCTGAAGGATTTTAGCAGAGGGCATTTTGAAGCATGTTCATGCATCTTACACAGCTAATTGTCTATTTTTCTCTTTTTAAATATAAGCATGTTTGTTGATCATAGAGTGGCTCCCTGAAAATATATATTGTGTTACATCTTTCAGATCTGAGTTCTGTGTTGGTGAAAAGGTCCGCACTGGCCAGCTCCCGCATTCCCAGGGGCGGCCCTGTGGAGTCCTGTATCTATCAGGCTTTAGTCTCTGGTTGCCTTAAGATATTGGGGCAGCTTAGCCAAGACCTAGGCTGCAGTCCTGACAAACCCACTGCTTAGATAGGTTGGGAAGAGAAGGTGATAATCAGAAGGAGGGCAGTGAACACTTGGATAGGGAAGTGTCATACCCCTAGCAAGATAGCCCCTGAGAAAAGTCATGTTAGTTAGGAGGCTGCTGGTTCTAACCTGGTCCTTTTCCTTGAGTCCCTTTGCTGCTGGTGGCTGATTTCAATGGACCATTTTGGGGTTTATGCACTCCTCAGTAGTTTCCCATATCCTCTTGGCCTTACTCTGAAGTGGCCTGTTCCTTCAGGATCGGGTCCCACACAACCTGAATTGTCACTGCCCCAAGTCATTTCAAGTTTTTTACAGGTCTATTCCATCTCTTGTCAGATTGGTTAAAAGAAGCGCAAAGTCAAGATTATTTAAAGGGATCCTAAGCTGATATTTGGGCTCAACTTTCACAAGGCTTTCAAACTCTAGATTTAGTGAAGTAGACCAGACCTCTGCCTGCTGAATCTCAGTGAAATAAGGTAGGAGTTAAATTCTTTGCCATGTAGCTATTCACACATACCCTTCTGCTGACTTAGCCAGTCCTCCCTCAATGGGGGAGGCTACACTGGCTAAGGGAGGTGGGGACAGACATACACGGTTGCTTTGTGGCTCTTTTCCAGTGGTATCTCAGATAATGTTGGACAGTTATGTATAGTTGAAATTTGTGGAGTTCTTTATATATATAATAATAAAAAAAAGGACAGGAAGAGACTTAGAAAAAGACCAAATTACTCATGCAAATAATACTTTCCAAGTTATTCCTGGAGAGTATTTTTAAGGCAGTATGTTACCGCCTTTCTAATTTGAGATTTTTGTGTTTATTGGGGATTACATTATTTATTGTCTAATCTCTGTGGTTGGGGTTCTTTTTTGGTTTTTATATTTAATTTCAGGTCTAGTCACTTGTAAGATGTGTTATATAATATCCCTCGAGGGATTTTCTAGCTTGTCAGTGTCAGTATTAAATGTGGACTCTGTTTTGAGGCAGTTGCCACCAGTCATGGTGATAGCAATGGACATGTCTACTCTACGCTCCCAAATGTATAGCAACACACTATAGCTTACTTAGCAGTTTTGCTTGTTTGGGGGACAGCCATGGCAGGGAGCCAAGAATTAGAAGGTTCTCAGGCTGTATCTACTGCTTCTATTCTGGGAAAATCACATCCTAATCCTTTGGGGTAGTTTTCAGCAGAGTAGTCTCACTCCCTGCCCGCACTCTGCCTGACAAGCAGCCCTTTGCTGTGGATCTAAGTACTGTGACCTGGTTAGATTAGAGTTAGGAAGTACGTGGCCTCCTTTTCAGTGGAAATTGCCTTATGTGCAATGGAGCTATAGGTGGGACATTTGAACCCTTCTCTGAGCCCAGGTCATGAAAAGTGTCATCTTCTGACATTCACCTTTAACTTGGGAGGTCAGTGCCCTTCAGATCCTGGAAAGTCTGATCAGGCAGGGCAGGTGACCCATGCTTTTGTCCCATATCCATTCCCTAGATTGCAGGCTCTTTGAAAATGTTTAACTTCGATGTGAATTTGTAATTGAAGACGGAGTGGGTTTGGATCTCTTGTACACAGGGCTTTGGACCTCCCCATGTGCCTCCCACCAGTGTGGCACAACTGTGTGTCTAGCCCTGAGCTCCCCTCAGCACATTGTGCGTGTACAGATTACCGACTTGTATGACTAAATGAATGTACATGTGTTTATATCTTCTATATATGTACAGTGTATATATATAGTGTGTATGTGTACATAGGTGTATATTATGTATACAGACATGTAGCCACATATCCAAACTCTCCTTGTTTTAAAGAGAATCTATGATAAGAGTTACTAAATTGATGTGGGTACTCCAAGATCCCTCAGCAGGATGGATTTGCCAAGATTTTAACTCCATTTTCCTTTGGGTGTGTCTGGCTGAGGAAGGCCATGAAGTTAAAATGTTCACTTTGTACCAGGGCAAGTTCCAGACAGAAAGGTCCTAACAATGACATTGCTATGTATTCTCTAGTGTGAGACAATGGCTAGGAAGCTGGAAGACAGTTTATACTAACGTCCAGAAACTAGGTGCGGATCTTTAACCTAGTTGTCACACACCTCTTTATGGCCTAACTGGAAGGAACTTGGTAGGTCAAGCTGTGGGCCTTCCCTGGACTCATTGTCATGTGATCAGTTTCAGAATGGTCTGTGTCATGGGGCCTGGCTCCCAATTTTCCCCACTTGCTCTGGACTCAGTCTGCAGATGGTGGGCACTGCACTGTGGCTAAAAAAATTCCCATCTAACGCAAGTTGGGGGAGGGGGGGGGGAGGCAACCAACCAAGTATTCTTTAAAAATAAGCATAATTGTTGATGGCTAACTTTATGGCATAAGTTACAAATCTTAAATTACTTCTCCAACTGTAGCATGCAAATGAAATCCACTGACTTTCTCTAAATTATGATTTTAAAATCTCAGATAAAAATTGCATTTTAATATGGATATGCATGCCCTTAAAGCTACAGATGCCAAATGTCCAGCTCTACTCTGGTGAATTTTCCCCAAGTCGGACTTTAAACTGAAACACAGCACTCGGGAGCCAGGCCCCAGCCCAGCTATAGTTGCTCATGGACCTGGTAAGCACAGGGGCCTGACTAACGGGAAGGCTGAAAGCTGGCCTGCTGAAAGAGATCTCTGGATAACTGCAAAAACATAATCCACAGGTGGTGGTGGTGGTTTTTTTTAATCTATTGAAATGTTTGAAAAACACTTCATTGAGACCATAGTACTCAGTGCCTTTTGTGAGACTGGGCCATTCAGCCTCCAGCTTCCCCATCTGTGATGTAAAGCTCCTGTTGCTTCACTGGCTGCCCAGCAGTGATTGTCACCTTCCCCATGTCCTTGCCTGTCGTGACAATCACTATTGAAGGTAGCTTTCCAATTCGAATAATACAAATGGAAGCTTGACAGTCTCTAAGTGAATCTTTAAAATAAAACTTTTCATTTGGGGCTATTAGCAGCAATCTAAAACTAAACAGTTTAAAGGGAAAGTCTGAGATATTTTTAATGCCCAGCTATACTTTCGATTAAGCCAATAATTTTGGTGTTTGAAAATGTATACTATATATAATAGAAAAAAAAGTGCTATAAAAAATGCTGAAAAAATGCTCAGCAACATTTACCAATTGTCAGGTTGTGGTAAAGCTTAATATTTGGATAACATTTGGAAATAGACTTTACATGAAAAATAAATGGCTTTTCTCTAGGAAAGTATAATCAGTTGTCATTTTAACAACAAGAGCATTCATGGACTCAAATGCTGCTGCCACGTACAACTCAAGTGCTGGAATATTTTTCTATATCCTCCCAATTATCTTGTAAACCAGTGTTCAACTAGTTTTATAACTGAAAAGCTGCACATTTTTCATAGTACAAACCATAGTTTTTACCTGTAGTTTGGAACTGTTAAAATGTAGCTAAGTATTACCAGCCCTTTTAAAAGACATTAAAGGAAAACTTGGGTGTTAGATTTTCTTGGGACCGTTTCTGTACCCTCTGCCCTTCTCAATATAGAAAATATTGTCTATGCCATTACATTTTAATTCCAGGTTTAAAACCTGTTAAAAGCTGTAGCTTGAAATCAGCTTTATGTGATGGCATTTAAAATAGCATGTTCTTTTTTAATTGAATTTTATATCTAATCAATGTCTTCAGTCTTGAAGAAGAATTTGCATTGTTGTGTTTGTATATAGAGTATTGCAGTGCATGAATTAGCTTTATGCATTTTATTAAATGCTGTTTCAATGTGGCATTGTTGTGGCTTAATACTACTACCTAAATGAGGTTTATACTATTAAAAGTTAATTAAAGACTAATGTGCATCTTGTTTATCCTTTCTCCTCACAATAGTAATAACATGCCTGACCACCAGGAGTCCCCAGAGCGCTCTCACCTAAACACCGAGTGGGTGGTGAGGACGCGCCTTAGTAGTCAGAACCCTGTAGCTCTCATCTCACCTTAGCCAAAAGCGACTTAGCCCCATCCATTTGATGGCTCACTGGACTTGTTTCTGGAACAGGGCTTGGGCTGCCAAAACTCACAGACTGCCATCACAGACACAGAGCCAGGCCTCGGACCAGAGCAGACATATTCTTAAAGTTTCAGAAGTCATCTGACTCATTTTACAGGTGAGGATTCTGAGGTCCAAAGTCAAGATTCTTGGCAGAACCCACTGGCAGCCAAATAGCTTTCAAAAGGAAAAGGAAATTGGTCACTTCAGCAGAACAAGGTTGAAAACCATCTGGCAAGCATTGGTTATGTGAATAAAATTAAGAAACTAGATGAATTATAAAAATCCTCATAGCAATCATCTCCAATAAGTTCCTCCCATTTCTGTAAATTTAAAAATCTTTTATCATTGTTGAAGTAGGAAATGGAAGACAACTGTTTAAAGAGATAATGCCCCCTAGTGCTGTTTGTTTCATGAATCATTATGTCTATGAAATAGCCCATGAAAAAACAGTAATGGTGGTGCTTTCCCATCAGGCACTGGACATTTATTCTCTCTCTAAAGAAGGGTCACTAGCTTGGTTTGGGGCAGTCCTGGCTAGCTACCTTTCTGGGCCCTGTGGACCAAGTAGGGAAGGAATACTTCCCTAAGGCCCTTTGTCTCACCAGCTGTGGAGACAGACCAAAAGGAACAAACTCTCGGAAAAGGCTTGGAGGCCCAGTAGGAAGTCCAATCAGCTGGTGTGAAGGCCATGCTGCAGTCAGCAGGTGGGATTGTTATAGAAACATTGCAGGAATTGAAACTAGGGATTAGAATGGAGGATAAATTTTTCTAGCCACCCTTCAAAATGGTGATGGGGAGAGGGCACCAAGATTTTGAATTTCAATTAAACAAAATTGAAGTAAACCTGCCAGTTACACATTAAACCCAAACAGACCTCCCCTTCTCAATCCCTCCAAGGCTATCACCCTGAACACAGGTCTGGTGCAAAACCACAGGAAACCATAACTTGAGCATCAAATGTAAAAAGAGCCAGGTTTCTCAATTTAGTGGGATAATCTCCCAACATTCAAGTAAAACACATTCTACCCTTTCCAGTTTGGCTCAGTGGAAAGAGTAACAGCTGTGTGTTGAAAGATCCTGGGTTTGATTCTGGTCAAGGGCATGACCTGCATTGCAGGCTGGATACCCGGCCAGTTGGGGAACATGTGGGAGGCAACCAATCGATGTGTCTCTCTCACATCGATGTTTCTCTCTCCCCCCTTCCACTCTCTAAAAATCAATGGGGGGAAAAATATCCTTGGGTGAGGATTAACAACAAAACACACATTCTAGTTTCACATTCATTTCCCATAACTAACTTACCTCATGGAGTAATCCCCTTATTCCCATTTTACAGCAAGTGTTATGCCTTGACCAAAGCTCCCATCAGAGAGGAACTCAGACCTTAAACCTGCTATTGTAAGCCCTTTTTTTTTAATCTTTCTTTATTGGTTAAGGTATTACAAATGTGTCCTCATCCCCCCATAAGCCCACCTGCTTGCATCCATTGGTCAAAGTCTCCTGGTCTGTGTTTCCACCGGTCTGTAGTCCAGCTGGTCCTTTACTTTTGATTAAGTAAACCTATTCTTAAACTGACCCTAGAGGGCTTTGGTGTCTCCTAAGCGCTTAAAACCAGCAAAACTCAAGTAGCAGCAATATCCATGTCCTAAGGAGGAAAGGACTACTAGGCAGAACTACTAAGTAACACCTCACACCCTCTTCCAAACTTTAACTCAAGAACTGAACAAGAAGGTAAATTGAGGCAGCTTCCACAGCCAGGTCCCTCAGGAGGAAAAGGTCAGCTGGCTTTAATTTAAAAGTGAGCACTGCACAAAGGTTTGCCCCGGGATTTCTGAAAGATGCCCAGAGAGCCTGAATGGAGGGAACATCCACACTGCCAGCCACAACTAGCTCCAACCAGACTCAACTGAATTTTCAGAGTAGGGTCTGGAAGAGGAGTCGAAATCAGTGGAGACAAGGAAAAGGCCACAAGACCAAGATGTCAACAGGCTGTGGCCCTACACCGTCCTGATCCCAAAGTCTGTTCCCATGCAGGCCTTCCTCCTGTGCCTAGCAGACTGGATACACACCATGCTGCTGGATGATTAAGGAGCATTTTATTGGCAGAGTCTCTGAGGACAGAACTAGGATCTCCCTGTGGCCAAGGTAACCCTCGCCCACAGGCCTGGGGCCTTAGTCCTGGGCACTGGCTTTCAGAGTTGCTTTGTACTTCCCTGTCATCTCCTTGGGTAAGGGCACCAGGGCCGGGCAGGGCACCTGCCCTTCCACCTCACAGATGCACTCCCGCAGGCAATACTTTCGAGGTCCAAAGTGGGCTGGATGAGAAAGCTGCTTTTTCTCCTGCTCTTCTTGCTTGAGGGTTTCCCTGCCAAAGAGCACAGACAGCAACAAGGTGTTGGCAACAGTTCTCTGAGCCTCTGCGAAGCACAGAACTTCTCGGAGTGGGCGCCATCATCAGCCGGGGAGACTTGGACCTCCTGTGTCTCCTAACACGCTTCTCACTCCTCAAACCTATCCCTGCCCTCCACAGGGAAGGCCTTCAGTATGTGAGCAGTGTCAGGCCCAGGGCAGGAGGCACTTGGAAAGCACACTCACGCCAGGCCAGCACAGGAACAGTCAGCCCTCAGACAGCTGAGGGGCAGCCCCATTTCTGACAAGTGAGACCATCAGAATAAAGGGGCCTGGAAATGCCTCCAGGTGCCTTCTCAAAGATATTCCGCTTCCTTCCCTTCCCTTCTTTCCTCCATGGAGAGAAAAGGGATGTGTCACAGCAGGCCCCGGGGTTGGTCACCCACCATCTCCAAACTGGGATATGTTTCCAGCCACACAGTGCAAGTATTTTAGCTGCATCTCAGCTTCCCTCTGACCAGGAGGGATGGATGACTTACTGTGACACATCTGGTGAGCAGCCAAGTCAGATGGAATGGACTCTCCAGCCCACACTGGTGAGTGTCTGGCTCACAGTCAGAAAACCTGTCCCTTTCCTCTCTCTCAAAATCTCTGCGCTAAGACCTCTGCTCCCCTCCAGGTCAACCCCAGCAACTCACTCATTCTTCCCCAGGATTTTTTTGATGTGCTCCATGATCTCTTTATTGCTCTTGGTCTCTACATCCACGAGAACCTGCTCACCGGTATCTGAAAACAGAAAGCAAAGGAGGTGTGGCTGAGAACTCAGGAGAGCGTGCCGCAGCCTCAAATGGTGATTTGCTGTTTGCTAGAGGAGAAATATTTTAACAATAAAGTAAATATATTTGTTTACATAACCCATTATATACTACCATTTATTTTCCAATATTTCTTTATACATGAGCAGATATAAATTTTAGGTATGTACAAAAGCATACTACTTTAATAGAAAAATTCCATGTTCATGGATAGGAAGATTCAATGTCATTAACATGGCAATCCTCCCCAAACTGGTCTATAGATTCAATGCAATCCCTATCAAAATCCCAGCAAGTGTTTGTGTAGAAACTGATAAATTTAGCCTAAAATTCATGCAAAACAATTTTGAAAAGAAAATGGAGGAAGGACATTCATTTTCCAATTTCGAATTTACTATAAGCTACAGTAATCAAGTCAAAAACAGACTACAGAGTAATAGAACAGAATTGAGTCCAGAAATAAACCTTTATATTTATGGTCAATTGATTTTCAGCAAAGATGCCAAAACAATTCAGTGAGGAAAGATTGTCCTTTAAACAAATGGTGCTGGGACAATTGGATAGCCACATGCAAATAAATGAATTTAGACTTTTACTCCCAACATTAAAAAAAGAAACAAAATACTCAAAATGGACCAGGGACCTACAACTTTTTGAAAATCTTTAGAACCTAGGCAAAAATATGCCATCAAAAACATTATTATAGAAAAAAACCTAATACACTGAATTTAAAATCCAAAAATTTTGTTCTTCAAAAGGCACCATAAGCAATAGACTGGGAGATAATGTACAGAATGCATATATCTGATAAGACTTGTATCTCAACTATATAAAGAACTCAAAACTCAAGACAATCCAACTAAAAAATGGACAAAATATGTGAATAAACATTTAACCAAAATTAGTCATTAGTCATGACAATGAGCTATTAAGAGTGGCTAAAAATTTTTTAAATGGGCAATACTAAGTACTAGTAAGGGTGAAGAGTAATGGAACCTTTCTTACAATACTGGTAAAAATGCAAAACATTACAGCCAATTGAGCCAATGAATTAAGACAAAAAAAGAAAAAGGATTGATAAGGAAGAAATAAAACTGCATTTGCAGATGACAAGACTGTGTATGTAGAAAATTCTAAGGAATTTAGAAAATAAACTATAATGCGTTTATAAGCAAGGTTGCAAGACACATTCCATATACAAAAATCAATTAGCCCTATAGCCGGTTTGGCGGCCCACGGACTGAAGGGTCCCAGGTTCAATTCTGGTCAAGTGCATATACGCCGTTGCAGGCTCGATCCTGAGCCCTGGTCAGGAAGCGTGTGGGAGGCAACCAATCAATGTTTCTATCTCCCCCTCCCTCCCACTCTCTCTAAAAGTCAATGGAAAAATATCCCCGGGTAAGGATTAACAGCAACAACAAAAATCAACTATACTAACCAAAAAACTGTAAAATGAAATACGGTATTTAAAAATACCATTTATTATAGTCACAAAACATACTCAATTCAATATTGTTAAAATATCCATACGCCTCAAAATGATCTATAATGTAATTCAAATCAAAATCCCAACAAGCTTTTTTCCAGAAACTTGCCCAATTTTAAAGTTTACATGTAAATGCAAAGAACCTAGACTAGC